CCAGAACAAACACATTATCTCCATCGAAAAGCTGAGTGAGTAATGGTGGCAGAGGGTGATGCAAGATCTTGTCGGAATATAGAAGCATTAGTCTCTTGGGCATGTTATTGCTGCATGCATAGGCCCCAGATGAGAGTGTAAAGGAACACATCTCGTCCTAAAGAAAGGTCTCTGTTACATACAGGACAGTCTTCCAGCTGTTGTGAATACAATTAATAATTTCTTCAGCTGCACAAACGCCCACATCGAAGTCCCTGTCTGGAATACAAAGTCGCAGACCTCTCTCTACCTCCACCTTCTGTAGAAACGTGGTACACACCCACTGATAATCATCATGTTGAGAATAATAAATAAATATGTCATACTTAAAATCTTGTCTTCGTGGTACAAAATGATCAAACCCTATCAACCTCAATATCCAGTATTTTAAAGAGATGGTGTTTTTTAACACCAAATGACAAACGATAAGACCAGAAATCAGTACACACAAAATCTACCATAGCAAGATCTCCAGTGTCTCCTAAAGGAACTGGTAATATTTGAAAGTTTAATGAGCTGACCCTCAGTGTTGATACAGCTGTATGAATCGAAGTGTCGAAACTGGACATCTGTGTCAATTATCCATGTCAGAAAGTCTAGGGTTCCACATCCACAAGACAGGATGTTCCCATGGAGGTCAAGTGAAATGGGTTGGGAAACAAGAACCCTTTGATCTAACATTGTTCTGGTGTTGACGCTCAGAAAACTGATAGAATTAAAAGAAAGATCAATTTGAGAGATGCTCAACATTCCAGACAATTTAATAGGCACGTCCTCAAACATATTATTGCTTAAGTTCAAATATTTTAAGGTCTTTAGATTTCCGAATATGCGAGTATACATTCTATGTAGAATGTTATGGGATACATCTAAAAGGTGGACGTTTTTGAGAGGACTGAACAATGTTTGTGAACTCATATTAGACATCAAATCAGTATCAAAATGAACATTTTTCAGATACAATGTCATGACGATTGGGAATGACTGAAAAAATGTCAACGGTATTTTCTTAAAGAAATTCCCTGAAAAATCAAGATATTTTACATGCTCCAAGCCAAAGACACGTGAAGTGTTTGTTATTATGGCAGAATAGGAAAGGTCCAAATACCACAAGTTATTACCTCCCAGAAAGCACAAGTTAGTTCCCTCTAATGATCTTCCATGTGCTCCTGAACCACTTAATAAAAGTTTTTCCAAAGATGGAGGAAGAAAAAGTGTCATGTTTCCTAAAAAGGTTAGTTTTGGTATGTCTTTGGAATGCTGATATTGTCCATCACCAGCATAAAGTACATATGCCTGATTTGACACATCCAGTACAGCTAGGTTAACAAGTTCAGGGAGATGGAACAACAAGCTGGGGTCACCTTTTATAGAATTGTAGCTGATGTCAAGATATTTTATACAACTTTGAAACGGTTCCTGCAATAACACGCTACTTTCAATGACCACGATGTAATTATTCCTTAGAATCAGTCGCTCAACACACATAGTCTTAAGGTAACGTGTCATCTCAGACGTGAGCACGAGACTTTGGTTCTTCATAACACCTTGAACAGAGACAGGATATGTACGCACAAGTGAAAAGTCTATTTCGGTCATGTTCCTTCCACTGAGTCCTTGTAAGCTTAGGAAAGACTCATACAGGCCAAAGGGAGCAGTTTCTCTTGCAAACAGGAACTTCAGTTTATGAAGAGGAAAGAAGACATTGGCGTCCAGAAAAATAAGAATGCTACATGCTGACAATGACAGATCCCTGACAGGTGCTTCCCTGAAGTTGACAAATGAGTTTTTTCCCAAACGTCTGATAAGGCATTGTGATCCAAAACTCAGACTCTTCAGCCTCCTCATCTGTGCAAAGCCAGGTCCAAACACCGGTTCTCCAGCCCCGTCAATAACCAGTGACTCGAGGTGGTGAAGATCAGCAAATGTAGCATCAGGATATGTCAATGAAGTAAACGGCATCTTCATTCTGCTCACATGGAGTGTTGTCAGAGATGTCAGGTTTTGGAATGTCCCAAGAGGAAGAGAGAAATAAGAAAAGTTCAATTTGTTCCCATCCCAAATTTAGCTGCTGAAGGACAGGCAGGCTTTGCAGAGCACCTTCCTCCAGAAACTCTATGTTGTTATTGTAATGGCCAAAGTTGTTTTATTTTATCATTGGTAAATTTTATTTTCTGTTTTAATTTTAGTTTTGTTTTTTCTCAAATTTTTTACTTTGGTAAAATATTAATTTGCCAAAATTTTGTTTTCCACTTCTGGGTTTGAACTCACATCTCTCTGTTTCTACTCAGTTTCTGTTAGACTTTATATCAAGGGGCTAGTAACTCTATAACCAGGGGTGGGTTACTCTAGTTTAGACTGGTTTGGGACCATGTGCTTGCCTGAGTATGCAGCACACTTAGATGAGAAGCCAAGGACTACATTACCCAAAAAATAATGGTAGGAAATCAATTTCATATACTTAGTAAATGTCTTTATCTTTCTTTAAGTGTTATAAAGTAATTTTTTAGAATTTATCATTTGTAATTTTTCAGTAAATTCTATTTCTTTGAGTTGGTTTTATTAGTAGGTCTAATTTCTATCATTTTCTTTGGTATTTTTTCTTGAGTAACAACTCAAAATCACCTTTTATTTTGTTTCAGTTAATCTGTTAGTATTAAGAAAGAAATTGCTTGACTTTTGGAAAGGAATTGGAGCAATGGACCTTCAGTGTGTTTGAACACCAAAGAATAAATGACCTCAACCAAGAAGGATTCTTTTTCTTTATTTTCACACATACAGCATTAACATTATTTTGGGTACAAGATGAGTGAAGTTAAAAGAATAAGAAAGCCAACTGAAAAGGTCAGCCCTATTTGGTTGATATGAGGCAGAAGAAAATGAGCAGCATTTTTAGAAGTTTAAGAAAGAAATTTGACAAGATAACTAAGACAATTGAGAACAGCATCATTGACAAAGAGACTATAGAGAATGTTAGAGCTATGTACAAGGAATGGCTGGACAGTTACGATGAATTATTTCAACTTCGTATAGAGCTTGTTGGTCTGCTTGAAAAGCAGATTGACATAGAAGCATTTCGAGAGAGAGGGTGCCGCTCAAGATATGGAATTAAGGGTGATGAAATTCGACATAGATAAATTCTTCCTAAAACATGAAAGTCAACTAAAAGCTGACAGGCAAGAACTTTTGACTACCAGAAGTATAGCCAATGAATCGGACCACAGCTCAAGTCGATCCAGTACAGTCTCGTCCGCCCGTCTCAAGGAAAGACAAACAACAGCAGAATTAAGTGCAAAAGCGACAGGCCCTAGAGAGTAAGCGAAGATTAGAGCTTGAAAATTAGAATTGAAAATGAAGGAAGATGAGCTTGAACTTGACACCCTCTTGAAGATTTCAGAAGCCCGCTTACATGCTATCGACGAGTTCGATGAAGAACAACAGCCCCTGAGTTCAACCCCTTTTTCACAAAGAAATACTTCAGGCAGATTTAATGAAGAACAACAGCCCCTGAGTTCAACCCCTTTTGCACAAAGAAATACTTCAGGCAGATTTAATGAAGAACAACAGCCCCTCAGTTCAACTCCCTTCTCACAGAGAAAGGCTGCCAACAGGTTTGATAAAGAGCAACTGCACAGTTCCACTCCAATTGTGCCAAGAAATGTTCGTATTCGGGAAGAGGAAGATTTTGTTCATCGACAGAGGAGACCACTAAAGAGAACTACAGCCCCTGACAGAGTAGAGGCTGTTGTGAGACAACTAAGGAGACCAGTACCAGAGATAAAGAAATTTGCAGGAAATCCCACTGGAGTATACAAGGTTCATGCGGCAGTTCAGGGTAAAGATTATCGCCAACACAGAGACGGACGATGAACGGCTTAGTTATCTAGAACAGTTCACCACAGGGGAAGCCAACCAGATAGTAACCGGTTACAGCTACCTAGATGCCGAGACTGGCTATCAAGCTGCTTTGAAGGAGTTAGAAGAGAGATATGGTGATGACCAATTAATTGCACAATCATTCATTAAGAGAGCACTAAACTGGCCCAACTTAAGACCTGAGGACACGAAAGCCCTTGACCAATATGCTATCTTCCTGTCAGAATGTCAGCATGCAGTAGCGAGTATTCAAGCTGTAAAAGTCTTGGAGTATCCAGACAATGTAAGAAAATTGGTTGCCAAGTTGCCCTTTTATCTACATGACAAGTGGAGGAATGAAGTTTTGAAATGCCGGACCCATCATGAGAATGTTACATTCAGCCAGTTTGTTGACTTCGTGAAAAGAGAGGCAAAGAAAGTTAATGACCCTATTTTTGGACGAGAAGCGATGAAGCCAGATCAGAAAGTGAATAAATGTAGATTCTCCATCGCTAACAGAGGCAAAACCAGCAATGCTGCAGGAATCACAAGTTCAAGATATGAGAAAAGAGACCAACCAAGTTTACCCATGTACCCTGCAGCTAAGCCCACATTAACTCATCACTCTGAGAGACAGTTTCCAAAGAAAACGTTATGCACATACTGCAGTGGTATACACCTCCTTCAGGATTGCCAGAAAATTATGTCACTGCAACACATGGACAAGATTGAGTTCCTAAAATCAAAAGGGATATGCTTCAGGTGCCTCAAGTATGGACACATCAGCTCTGAGTGTAATGAAGAAACCAAATGTCGTATCTGCGGCCTTCATCATCAGACGATACTTCACTTTCGAGGAGGACAGCAGTCAATGAAAAAAAGAGACTGGATGGACAAGGCCTGGAATCTCCAACATGTTATCAGCTATGGATGAGTGCGACACAACAATGGCGATCATACCAGTCAAAGTGAGAATGAAAGATGGCATTACCATAGTGGAAACCTACGCTTTCTTAGATCCAGGTAGTAGCATATCATTCTGTTCCACCTCACTTATGGAAAAGTTGGGATGTCACGGAAAACCTATGAAGATAACGATTGAAACCATGGGATCTCCTCACACTATGGATACTAGAGTCATTCAAGGTCTACAAGTATGTGATTTAAATCTTGAGAATGAGATTCAGATGCCAACACTTTACACAAAGGACAATCTTCCGGTGTCAAGGTCACACATACCTACATCAGATGACATATCACAGTATCCACATCTGAGAAACATTGACATACCGCAGTTGGACTGCAGCATAGAGTTACTCATTGGGAACAATGTACCTGATGCCTACACGCCACAGCAAGTCCGTACCGGAGAACAAGGCACACCACATGCTACAAAAACCCGTCTCGGATGGATCTTATGGAACGTCGTCAGGAATTCAGAAAGTGAACATGGAAACTGTGGACTAACAGTCATGAGAACAGATGTAATTAAGATAAAGGAAGCAGAGAATATGAGAGAGCTTGACCAGCTTGTGAGACAAAACATGAACATTGAGTTTCCTGAGAAGGGTGTACAAGATAGAAAAGAAATGTCGCAAGAGGACAAATTGTTCCTGAAGAAAGTAGAAAACTCTGTTGAGATGAAAGATGGTCACTACCACATTCAGCTCCCATTTAGAAATGAGAACATTGAGATGCCGGACAACCATGACTATGCACTGAAAAGATTGAACAGTTTGAGAAAGAAGTTTGAGAAGAATACTCAATTCTACAGAGACTATAGTGAGTTCATGATGAAAGTGGTCAGCAAAGGCTATGCTGAGAAAGTACCTGAAGAGGAATTACAAGGCCCAAAAGGAAAGACTTGGTTTATACCTCATCATGGGGTATACCACCCACGCAAACCAGACAAAATCCGGGTGGTGTTCGATTGTGCGGCGAAATACCAGGGTGTTTCACTAAATGATGTCCTTCTCCAAGGGCCAGATCTCACGAACAATCTTACCGGCGTCCTAATTAAATTTCGCCAAGGCCCAGTTGCTATCATTGGTGGCGTGGAAGCCATGTATTACCAGGTAAATGTTCATAAGGAAGACAAAGATTTCCAGAGATTCTATTGGTGGAACAACAGTGACTACAACCAGAAACCAGAAGTCTACAGAATGAGAGTTCACCTATTTGGTACAGTCTCCTCTTCCAGTTGTGCAAGCTATGCATTAAGGAAAACTGCAGAAGACAATCGAGACAGGTTTGAGTCAGACATTGCCAACATGATTAGTGACAACTTCTACGTCGATGACTGCCTTTCCTCCACTGAATCAGATGCTTCTGCCATAGAACAGGTCAAAGGTATCACAGACTTGTGTAGCCAAGGAGGATTTCACATTGCAAAATGGGTCAGTAATAGCCGCAAAGTCATTGAGTCTATCCAAGAAGAGAACAGATCAAGTCATATAAAGAGTCTAGACCTAGAACATGACGACTTGCCATGCGAGCGTGCACTGGGCACATATTGGATTATGGAAGATGACAAGCTCAGCTTCAAGATCCAGGTGAAGAATCATTCAAAGACTAAGAGAGGAATCCTTTCAGTAACTAGCAGTGTCTATGACCCTTTAGGATTTGCAGCTCCAGTCATTCTTCCTGCTAAACAACTCCTGCAAGTTCTTTGCAAGAAAAACTATCATGGGATGAGCCCATTCCAAATCAACTGTTGATAAAGTGGGAGAGATGGTTGAACGACTTACCCCAGATTGAGAAACTGAACATTGACCGCTGCTACAAGCCACAGAACTTTGGAATTATTACCAATTGTCAGTTACATTTATTCTCGGATGCAAGCGATGCTGGTTATGGAGTCGTTGCATATCTACGTCTTGAGAATGATAAAAATGAAGTTTATTGCTTATTCGTCATGGCCAAGTCGAGGGTTGCCCCACTAGCAAAGGTAACAGTGCCACGAATGGAGTTAACAGCCGCTACTGCTGCTGCACGGATGAGCAAACTGATAGAACATGATCTTCAGTACCCTATTGCAGAAACAGTATTTTGGACAGATAGTATGTCGGTCATCCGATATATCAGAAATGAGACGACACGGTTCCACACATTCGTGGCAAACAGAGTCACCACCATCAGAGAAGCTTCGAACCCAGAACAATGGCGTTTTGTCAATACCAAACTCAACCCAGCAGATATAGCATCAAGGGGAGCAACAATGACTAAATTCCTGTCAAGTGAGATATGGATAAAAGGACCTGAGTTTCTATGGCAACCAGAAAACATGTGGCCGAAAGAAGAAATTCAAACTGAACTTTCGCGGGTGAAGATCCAGAAATCAAGAAACCAAGAGTTCACTGTGTAGTAAAATCAAGATCAGAAGACCAAACAATGAACAACCTCTTGACATACTTTTCAGATTGGACCAAGTTGAAAAGGGTTACTGCCCACTTCATCATCTTCCAAAACCACCTGAGAAACAAGATAAACATGAGAAAAGGAAGCAAGCCTGTGAAATTGGAACTGAACATGTCGAGAGACATTCTCGAAGAAGCAGAGAGGTCAGTAATCTCCTATGTACAAAGACAAACTTATGGAGAAGAGATTACTTGCCTGAAACGGAGGAAATCAGATGGGACTGGATTGAAATCCATGCCAAAGACAAGCACTTTGTTCAAGTTGGACCCAATACTTGATGAAGGCATTCTACGTGTTGGCGGCAGACTAGAGAGAGCTCAACTGCAATACAACGCCAAACATCCTGTGATTATCCCAAAAACCTCTCCACTGGCAAGATTGATCCTAGAATATGTCCACAGATTAACTGGTCACTCGGGTAAAACAGCAATGCTAGCTACATTGAGACAGAACTACTGGATCCCAGGTGCATCAGTGCTTTTGAAGAGCATCACGTCAAAGTGCGTGCTGTGCCGGAAATACAAGGCTGTGACCCAGATTCAGAAGATGGCTGACCTGCCGGCAGACCGCCTAATCCCAGGAGATCCTCCCTTTACTAAAGTAGGTATGGACTACTTCGGACCGTTCCAAGTCAAACGAGGACGGGCAGCTGTAAAACGGTACGGTGTTATCTTCACATGCCTGACTAGTCGTGCTGTGCACTTGGAAATCGCTCATTCACTAGACACGGACTCCTGCATTAATGCGATTCGGCGATTTGTAGCTAGAAGAGGCCCAGCAAAAGTCATTCTGTCAGACAATGGAACGAATCTTGTTGGCGCTGAGAGAGTAATGAGAGAGGCGATAGAAGATTGGAACCAGTCGAAAATTAAAAAAAAACCCTGCTTCAACAGAACATAGAGTGGAAATTCAATCCTCCGTATGCCTCGCATCATGGCGGAATATGGGAAAGGATCATTCGGTCAATCAGGAAAATCCTGTATTCATTGATGGATCAGCAGATGAATCATCTCGACGACGAGTGTTTGATGACACTATTCTGTGAGATTGAGTCCATACTCAATGGACGACCAATCACAAAGAACTCTGACCACCCGAGTGACCTAGGCGCTCTAACGCCTAACCATTTTCTGCTCCTGCACAAGAGTCAAATGTGCCCACCCGGACAATTCTATGAAGATGACAATGTGCTGAGAAACCGCTGGCGGCAGGTACAGTATCTCGCCGACCAGTTTTGGAAAAGATGGGTGCGGGAATATCTCCCACTACTTCAAGAAAGACAAAAGTGGTGTAAAATAAAAAGAAATACAAGTACAGGTGATATTGTGCTTGTGATTGACAACCAACCCCGTCATGCTTGGGCCCTTGGAAGGTAATAAATGTTAAGTGTGACAAGAAGGGGATGGTTCGAATTGCAGAAGTGAAAACTATGAATGGGACGGTTCTTCGACCCATTACAAAACTCTGTACTGTACTGGAAGCAGATGAACTGTGATCAGAAACTTGAAAATTGAAGAAACCTGAGAATATGAGAAATTATAAGAAACTGCACGACCTTTATTTCAGGAAAGAAGAAATCAATCATGAACTGTAATTTGTGTTTTATTATATCTACTTTCCTGAGCATTTAAGAGGAGTTTATCAATCATGTATGAATGTTTCCTGTAACTTTGACCATTTTCATGTAGTTTTGAAAAATTGCTCACTCAAATTCCCAATTTGTGGGCCGGTATGTAATGGCCAAAGTTGTTTTATTTTATCATTGGTAAATTTTATTTTCTGTTTTAATTTTAGTTTTGTTTTCTCAAATTTTTACTTTGGTAAAATATTAATTTGCCAAAATTTTGTTTTCCACTTCTGGGTTTGAACTCACATCTCTGTTTCTACTCAGTTTCTGTTAGACTTTATATCAAGGGGCTAGTAACTCTATAACCAGGGGTGGGTTACTCTAGTTTAGACTGGTTTGGGACCATGTGCTTGCCTGAGTATGCAGCACACTTAGATGAGAAGCCAAGGACTACATTACCCAAAAATAATGGTAGGAAATCAATTTCATATACTTAGTAAATGTCTTTATCTTTCTTTAAGTGTTATAAAGTAATTTTTTTAAATTTATCATTTGTAATTTTTCAGTAAATTCTATTTCTTTGAGTTGGTTTTTTTAGTAGGTCTAATTTCTATCATTTTCTTTGGTATTTTTTCTTGAGTAACTTAACTCAAAATCACCTTTTATTTTGTTTCAGTTAATCTGTTAGTATTAAGAAAGAAATTGCTTGACTTTTGGAAAGGAATTGGAGCAATGGACCTTCAGTGTGTTTGAACACCAAAGAATAAATGACCTCAACCAAGAAGGATTCTTTTTCTTTATTTTCACACATACAGTTATCATTCGCGAGCAGTGTATGTAATGAAGGAAGGTTAGGGAGTGATCCTTTCCTGAGGTTTGATAAATTGTTGTTACCCATATTAAGGACTGTTGTGTTTCGTGGAACTCCTTGTGGAACTCGGTTGAAACCACGACGTGAACAGTCCACTGTTGTTTCATTGGCTTCGTGGTGAATGTTACATTTCTCAATGTCGGAATGTTGTGGGTGACACAGTGATGTCATCAGATTCGGAATAACAATCCAAACCAAACTGTAGATCGTGACTGACATCATTCCTGTCAAGAAAATTGTGGGCAGTAAATATGTATCCTTATCTTTAGATATGTAAAACGTTATTTTAGCCGCTTGGAAACAAAAACATAGGCTTTACATGGGAGAAATTAATAAAATGACGCATACTCTCTTTTCAACATCATTATGTGGGTTGCTATTTCGTGAAAGCTCGCTGTTGTCTCGAGATTGTGCACGCAATGCATGGAACTGAACGACCATATTAATCAAATATCATTAGCATCTTTACTTTAGCAAATGTCGCCCATTATGTCTCGGATCTTCCATAATGTGGTTAGCAGAAATAGTGTTCGAAATGCCAGAAAAGGGATTATGGAGGACTTTCGAATCTCGAAAACGTTTTCTTTCTCTAAACGTAACGATGACGATTATTTTGCAATATGAAACTGCTGAGAATGATCAAACGACTCGTTCTGTCTGCAATATATATATGTGGTGTTGAAGCCACCATTGTGCAGTCCCTGCCAGGACCAGTGAAGCGCTAGGGCAACAGACCCCGGCACCGGGCTGATACAATGACCAATGACCAAAATGCAATATGTCGTTTGTTAGTTTCTTGGTTGGTTTCTTGTTAAATGCCCCAAAAGGTACAATAAGTTAGCTCATACCACACGTCATCACGCACCTATTGTACCCATGATGCACCAGGGCGTAAAGAATGGCTGCAATGAGGAAGTGAAAAAGCTTTGCCTATAACAGTTAGAATCAACCAGGAAATACAATAATATGGTGGAGTTTAATTTGGCTTTCTGGATTTATGGAGTCTTCTTTATGTCGTAAAAAATCTAACATAGAACCAAAGAACTAAACCTAACCACAAAATACTTTTCGTGCTCAATTCCCCCACATGGGCACAATGTGTGAAGCCCTTTTCTGTTGTCCATCGCTGTGATGTTACTAAAAACGTAGTCGCTCACTCAATACCTCAACATAGATTAACACATTAATGTTGAATAATCAAATACGCGTTTTAAACAGTGACACTGAATTATCAGATGTAATACAATATTGCAACACATCTTCCGGGGATGTTAGTATAATGGATTTGACATAAACAGATCCAAGTAGCACTTGCGAGAATAAGCTGATATTGCCACATACCTGTTCATTCCAGTCTCAAAATATGCCCCTCAGTGTTTGTTGTGTTACCTTAGACAGCCCCACTCACATGTGTCTGGGATGCGACGCACCGCGTTTATAATAGGGTAGATTACAACAGAGACCATCTGGTCTCTGATTACACTGTATAACTTGCCCAACGAACGTCGTATCCTTACGCTCTGTTGATTCGGGAAGTGATGGAGATAGGGGTATATCAGGTGACTGTGACCACTGACTCACCCCACAAGGATGTTCCTGGATCCAGCTGGTCCCCACGGGATACATGTGTGCCTTCGGTACGAACTGAAGAAAGTAAAGATTTGTTCTGCCGGTACGATATTCAAAAGTGCGAGGCTGCATGTGAAAATTACATGCCAAGTTCCGAGATTTTTGAGAAAGTGAATCTCTTATTGGCTTGAAGTCACCAGTGTTGTGGAATTTGTGTTGAAGTGTTGAGTGCAGGTCATTTGTCACTGTGTCCTTCTCAATCTAAATTTATTTCAGCTCTGAGCTGCTTTTGTCCTTAAGCACAATGGACTAGTTTGTCTCTGTTCATGAGGCATGTATCAGGTTTTCTAAACAATATTAAAATAAGAGAGGATTGTGTCGGTGACATAGGGCTGTCAGACGCGGGAGACACCGAGAACTTAACCGCCACAAATAAACAGTCTCCAGCGACCCCACCTATAACCCCATTTCTCCGCCCCCTCCCCCTCCCCACCCACCCTACCCAGCATTCCTCCACTACCCACAACCCCCATACACACAACTGTGTGTATTCAGCCATGGCTACATTAATCTACATTAAAATGGAGAACGAGTCTCCGTGAGTAACGAGATTTAAAAGAGAGAAAATCTAGACTTGCTTAACTGTTAGCTATAGCAGGAGGAAAGACACAAAAGTATGGTACAGAGAGAGAGACCAGTCGTGATCATGTATCTTTGGAACTCGTGAACGCTATTTTCCTGTTTATTGACTGACACAGCAGCAAAGACAAAGATCACGATTGAACACATGCAAATCCTCTCCAACATCTTTTCACGTTTCACGCTGGTCCAATCTTTATGGGTAGCGACATGTGCATGCTTGGCAAAACATGGTAGCTTATATACCATGACGTAGACTCAACTTGAGTCTCTGAAACAAAAATGAATGAAACAATGAAATTCAATCAATGATTTATGTGCTTTTGAGGACGTTGTGTTATATGCGGTCGATCAAATGGATCAGTTCATGAGGCTTTGAGGCCAGACAAAATCTATTGGTGTTCTCAGTATCTGCCACTAGACATGTGTGGGTCAGACTCTGTTATTTGATGAAGTCCTTCACACAGCTGGAGTATTGCTGTGTAGGAAAACTGGGTTAAATTATAGCGTAAGCATGGGGGCAGGGGCTTCATAACAGGATATTCAAACTATACGTACCACATGTAGAATAACTGTCTACCAGATAGTCTTGTAGCACATTGTTTCACTTGCTCTACTACGGGACAACTTCTTGACCCGGGTTACCGTTCATCGTAGCGCTAGATACATTGGGTAGGCCACGTGGTTGGTGCTAAATATGTTGGGTAGGCTCTGATTGGTGGAGACGTCCGTCATCAGTAGGTGAAATTTGACCCATGTCAGAGGTCGTTCTAGAGCACTATATAAATGACCTGTCTCTCTGGATTCAGTGTCTAGCTTTCGGTCATCCGAGCATCAGGTAATATCTCTGTCCCGAGGTCCTGTTTCAGGCTCATTCCCTCCCCGTTTGCAGAGTGGAATGTTAGGTTTCATGTAGGGGGATGCTAAGTTCTGTATATTCGTGTTGGGTCGGGTTGGGGGAGAATTAGGAGTAGGAAACGGAATAGGAATTAGGTTATAGATTTTGGGTAATGTCCAGTTAGACGGGGTTGGTTTCGGGAGGTTCTATTTTTGAAGAGGTTATTGGGGTTTGGGGTTTTTTTTCTCACAAAGCTGTTTTTTTTATAATGTGAGAGAGAAGTGTAGTTTACAGACTGTTAAGTTTTTGTTGTCTTTTGTAATAAATTATTATCAGTGTTATCTTGTGTCTGTTATTTCCCAATAGGCTTCATGCCCGATTTACGAACTGGTCACTGAGTTTTGAGTAGAGAACAG